CGACCGGGGAAGGACCACGCCCTCACAGAATACCAGCGTAAAATAGCAGCTTAATGTTGCTGTGTTTCGTATGGTGAGTATAGAGAACCGGAGACCCTTTTTACTGGAAAAGAGACATTCCATCTTAGTCCTCACGGGTGACAACGCATCTACGTTTTAATTCGTAATTGAGGATAAATGTAGATGTCTATGGGCCACAGCAACCATTTACCATCAGGTGGACTGTGTGCTCGTTTGTCACCCTTGTCCTATAAGAAAAAAAAATAACGTCACCCTGTCTTACACCTCTCTGCAAATGGATAGGTTTCGTACTCTGGTTCTGTACTCGGATAGCCATCTTATCCCTACTGTACAAACACTTCAGCACTTCGATATACCGACAGTCAACTTGGCACCGCTGTAGGGACTACAGCACCGCCCGAATTTCGACGGAATCAAAGGCTTTCTCATAGTCCACATACGCCAGGCATAGTGGCAAATTGTACTCCTCGGACTTCTGTACAACTTGCCGAAGGGTATGTATGTGGTCTTTCGGAAACCGGCTTGTTCGGGAGGCTGGAAGTCGTCAAGTCTGCGCGCGAGACGATTCGTAATGACTTTCGAAAACAGCACGTAGACGCGGCTCAGAAGGGAAATCGGTCTGTAGTTCTTCAAGAGAGCGTTGTCACCTTTCTTGAAGAACAAGACTACCGCACTTCTACTCCACGCCTCCGGTGTAATGCCACACATTACATTACTTATCAATGGAAAATTTAGACAATGCTTATATTGCAGTTGCAAAGAATCCTTATATCGCGTACGCTGCGGAAACTATTGATAATAGAGCAAAGTAATGTACGGAGCTCGGTTCGCAAAGCACTCTTCTCCCTGGACGTCAGCAAGTCGAGTGGGACCGATGGAGTCCCTCCCATTGTGCTGAAGACGTGTGCTCCGGAGTTGGCACCGGTTTTAACGCGTCTTTTCCGGTACTCCTACTCCCAAGGCGTAGTCCCGAATTCATGGAAGACAGCTTTGGTCCACCCGATCCCTAAAAAAGGCGACCGCTCAGACCCGTACAACTACAGGCCTATTGCCATCACCTCCTTGTTCTCCAAAATAATGGAATCCATTATAAACTGCCAGCTCATGAGGTACCTTGAGGATCACCAGCTGATTAGTGACCGCCAGTACGGTTTTCGTCGAGGTCGATCAGCTGGTGATCTTCTAGTCTATTTGACTCATAGATGGGCGGAGGCAGTAGAGTCCAAGGGGGAGGCACTGGCCGTTAGTTTGGACATAGCGAAGGCCTTCGATCGGGTCTGGAACAAAGCGCATCTTTCGAAGCTTCCTTCCTATGGGCTTCCCGAGAAATTGTGCAAATGGATCACCAGTTTCCTTGCTGATCGGAGTATCAAGGTCGTAGTGGACGGTGCATGTTCTGATTTCAAGCCTATCAACGCTGGTGTTCCACAAGGCTGCGTGCTATCACCAACGCTGTTTCTCCTGCATATCAATGATATGTTGCTAACTGGTAGCATTCATTGCTATGCGGACGACAGCACTGGTGATGCCTTATATACCGGCCGTGCCAATATTTCTCGGGAAAACGTCGCTGAGTACCGGGACAAACTTGTGTCTGAAGTCGAGTCTTTGCTTAACAAAGTCTCGGATTGGGGCCGACTAAATCTAGTCCAGTTCAATCCCCAGAAGACACAGGTTTGCGCGTTTACCGCTAAAAAGAACCCCTTTGTCGTATCTCCTCAGTTTCAAGGCACTCCCCTTGCTGCCTCAGCTAGTATCGGAATCCTTGGCGTCGACATATCGAATAGTATGCAGTTTCGTGGTCACTTGGAAGGGAAGGCCAAATTGGCCTCTAAAAAGATTGGCGTGCTCAACAGAGCGAGACAGTATTTCATGCCGGCACATCGCTTGCAACTTTACAAAGCGCAAGTTCGACCCCACATGGAATACTGTTCTCATCTCTGGGCCGGGGCACCCCAGTGCCAGCTCCTTCCACTTGACCGCATCCAGCGCAGAGCGGTTCGAATCGTCGACGACCGAGTTCTTTCTGATCGGCTCGATACACTGGCACTGCGTAGAGATGTGGCATCTCTTTGCGTATTTTATCGCATCTATCACGGGGAGTGCTCTGAGGAATTGTTCGGACTAATTCCAGCCGCTCAATTTCACCATCGCACATCGCGACAAAACTCGCGTTACCATCCATACCATCTGGATGATTGGCGGTCCACCACTGTGCGATTTAGAAGAAGTTTTCTCCCTCGCACAACTTCTTTGTGGAATCAATTACCACCAGCGAATTTTCCGGACCGATACGACTTAGGAACCTTCAAGAAAAGAGCTTACACCTTTCTAAAAGGCCGGCAACGCATCTGCAATTCCCCTAGTGTTGCAGTTGTTCATGGGCGGCGGTAGTCACTAACCATCAGGTGAGCCGCATGCTCGTTTGCCCCCTCTTCTATAAAAAAAACGTTAGTTTTATAGAGGATATCAATATCTACAAAAAAGTCTGCGATACCATATGTTTAACTATTACGGTTACGTCACAATAACTACTTCTTCATGTTAAAATGTGAAATAGTAACACCGGTACAAAATAGGCTACATTATTCGTATCAGTACCTGTATCATGCATTACCACCAATTACGTTAACCATGTAATTTTAGTAACATATCTCACTTTTTAAATCTTTGTTAATTCAGCAACCGTCCGTCGTGATATCTCTCTCGAAGTTCGCATGGCAAGGCGCAGACGCGTGATATACGCGGGTGAAACCGCGGGGCACAGCTAGTATTATATATATTTAAAATGTTAATGTATTTATTACGAAATGAAACTTTAAATAAAAGATAGTTTTATTGCTGCCTGAACAAACATAATTTTATCAATAATAACTGATGAGAAAATACGAAAAATAAAAGAGAAAAATCTTGATCTTGATCTCTTAATGTACAGATCTTATGTTTCGAAAATTTTCTTTCCCAAAATACTATAATCAGCCTCTCTAACAAAAAGTATGTACGTAGTTATTTACGTTACATATAAATTAGATTTTACTGGAACTGGAAATTTAGAGATTGTTTATAACGCAATTAATAAATTCAAGTTAAAGGTTTTTTTTTTCAAATAAGACATGCTCAAAGCTTTTATGATAATATTGTCAAAATTTAGCCTATTCACTCTTGTCTTGAAGACACCCACACTGTAATCGGATGGAAAGACAGATGCTGGCAACTTATTCCACTCCTTTGCTGTACGCATGATGAACGACGTGGCGAACCTGTGCCGGACGGGCGAAACTCTCCGGAGTAAATGTTGTCGGAGATACCCCGCGAGTCGCTCACGTCCTACACCTGTAGGTTCCAGACTCCTCCAACTGCCGTCTTTCACTGCCGTCTCTTTGGTTGCTGCGGATAAACTGTGGACTGAGGTTCAAAATTAAAATGCACGATTTGTAAATTAAAATAGCAAGGGAGTGGCCAGCGGATCGACTAATTAATTTGTCGCGAGATTTTACACTGTTATTTATTTATCACTATTTTTCAACTATGATTGTTCACTATATATTTTAAAACACAGATTTAATTAAACACACAGTAATATTAAAATTTCTATTGGTTTTCTAAAATTTCTATTCGTATTTTTAAAATATCTGTTGGTAATATCAAATTTCTATTGGCAGTAACAAGTTTCTATTGGTATTCTCTACAATTTCTATTGGTAATTTTAAATATCTATTGAAAGTAACAAATTTCTATTGGTAGTATCCAAAATTTCTATTGGTAGCAGCTGGTTTTCTAACACTACTGACTAGCAGCTATTAATCAACTAAAATTAGTTGAATTTAAACACTTTTGTAACTGCGAATATCAGTTACCACTTTTTCCGTCTAGCTAACACTTTTCACGAAATGTAACGGCGAAATTTCCGTTACCACTTTTTTCAGCTAGCCAACACTTTTTCACTATATGTAACTGCGAATATCAGTTACCACTATTTTTGGCTAGCTGACACTATTTTTCTATGTGCAACTGAGAATTTTCAGTTGCCACTTTTTTCGACTATGTGTAACTGCGATTTTTCAGTTACGACCTTTTTCGGCTAGCTAAACTTTTCTATTTCACTTTAACTTTTCACTGTGTTCTGCTACTAGTCACTTCAGCTACTACCGGATACTGCTGCTTGTTACTGGTAGTTCTTCCTACTACAATGTTACTGTGATTTGCCCCCATAAGGTAGACTTCGGCTATACTCTATAGAGAGCCGCTTGCCAATTCCCATTTGCCTCTTTATTTTCAATCATTTTTCTTTATGCAAATGGCACAAATTGCAACTTTTCTATATAATACAAATCTTAACTCTAACATGCTATACATCATTAAATAGACATTTTTGTTCTACATTAGTATGCGATAAAGGATAATTAATGTATTTACATTTAACAAAGTTATTCATTGAAATGTCCTAAACTTTTACACTAATTGGTCATATTAATTCTTTATTTATCCTATAACTTTTAAATCGTGCTTAATTATACAAAATATTTCTTTATTATAACGATCTATACATCATATGCTAACTAAATACCATATTTACAACTCTTTTCAGACATAAAATTATTCTCATTAATTTTTTGCTTAAAACTATTACGCAGTTAATTTAAATTTCCAGAAAGTTCTATAGCGCGGCGCGCTGTGATTGGTCGATATTTTCTTAAACAAAATAAAGTTGTTTATATTAACTATTGTCAAATCGACCTTCTATACAAACATATTGAGTTGTAAATACATGGTAAAACTATATTTAATACATTATTTAGTCAATTTTTCCGTATTTTCGTTTTTTAAACAAATAAATATTCCTTAATCACTTTCTCGTTTAAAGTCATTTTTGCCGTTGTGAACAGTCATTTTGGCCGTCTCGAACATTTCTCCCGCCGTGCAGCGTCGTGAAGACCCGTCGCAGCGGCGCTGCATAATTTCGGTGAGAGACGTTGCCTCTACTTCGGCAGCGGCACGAGTTTTCTGGTTGGCCTCTTGATTAGTCCATTCGCTGTGCGTACCTCCACAGTGCGGATCTGTTCGTCCGCCCCGGGGTATATGTTTTCAATCCTTCCTCGTGGCCAGGTGTTACGAGGTAACTGGCTGTCAGCTATGAGGACTGGATCGCCCACCTGGAGATCGGGGCCTTGACCGTGGGCCTCCCGCCGGTTTTGAAGTTCCGGCAGATATTCTTTGACCCAACGCTGCCAGAACATGTCAGCGAGTATCTGGGAGCGTCGCCAGTGTTTTTTGCTGTTCGCATCTTTTTCACTAAAAACTCCAGGTGTTGGCAGTCTCGCAGATCCTCCCAATAGGAAGTGATTTGGGGTGATGGACTCGTTGTCTTTGCTGTCTACTGAGATGTGAGTCAATGGTCTGCTGTTTACTGTATATTCCACCTCGCAGAGCAGCGTGGTCAAGACATCTTCGTGCGGATGTCTCTCATGAAGGACGGTGTATAGTGCCGTCTTCACGCATCGAACAAGCCGTTCCCACACCCCTCCCATGAAAGGCGCGGAGGGGGTTATAAATCGCCAGACTATGCCTCGTCGGCTGGCTTCTTCTCGGAAGGCCTCTCGAAGCTCCTTGTCGGCACCGTGCATATTGGTGCCGTTGTCCGAGTAAATCTCGGTGGGACATCCTCGGCGCGCTGCGAATCTTCTTAATGCCAGTATGGCAGAGTCTGCGCTGAGATCTTTCACAATTTCCAAATGTACAGCTCGTGATGTAAGGCAGGTGAAGAGCGCCACGTATCTCTTCTGATGCTGACGTCCCACTGTTACGGAGAGTGGCCCAAAATAATCCAGGCCGGTGAACGTGAACGGTCTCTGGTGATGTGCGAGACGCGTGCTGGGATGATCACCGGTGGCTGGCATGGATGGTTGTGCCTTTCTTATGCGGCACTGAACGCATTGGCTTACTATTCTTTTAGTAGTGGGTCTTAGTCTGATTACCCAGTAATGCTGTCGAACCTCGTTGATGGTTGGTTCGGTCCCGCAATGATGCAGGCTACGATGCGTCCAATCAATATACAATTGGGTGATGTGATGATCACCATCCAATATAGCTGGCCCTTTCATATCTTCAGAGACTCCTTTTACAGCGGCTATTCGACTTCGTAGCGCAATGATCCCGTCTTTCAATTGTATCTGTAGTGGTCGTAGGCGGCTATCATGGGCGACCCTCTTATCGTTACGGAGATCGGCTATCTCTTGTGTGAAGGAGTCTTCCTGGATGACATGTACCAGGAGCTTTTCGGCCTTTCTTATATATTCGGCCTCCAGTGTGATGTATTTGTTTACATCTTTGCTTTTCACCTGACTGGGAGGCTGCGCGAGACGTCGCGGATTGCACTTCGATCTCCTCCAGTCGGGGTCTTCCTCTCTATTATTTTTTTTTGTCCTTTTATAAAAGGTCCTGTCGGTTGTTTTGCGGCAGAGTGTTATGAATTGAAGCACTCTGGCTGTAGCTCGCACTAAGCGTTCCCATTTCGAAAATTTCGTCGGATCGGGAATGGCCTCTTTATATAGCGGAGCTCTATATCTTTCTGTGATGGTGAGAGATCTTTCTTCACCAGTAGGTTCGGATGACGTGGGTCGTTCTGTTGGCCATGCTGACGGTTCTTTGTATAGAAATGATGGGCCACTGTACCACTCGTGGTTAGAGTCGAAATTGGGTGGTACGTCCCTCGTAGCGGTGTCAGCTATATTCAATTTTGTGGGTACCCAGCGCCAGTCGTCCACTTTACTATTGTCCTCTATTGCTGCTATTCGATGTGCTACAAAAGGTTTGTAGCTCCTGGAACCTTTCTTTATCCAGGTGAGGACAGTTTTGCTGTCAGTCCAATAAGTGACAGCTTCGGGCTTTACGTGATGCTCCTGGATGACAGCCGCAGCTACGCGACTTCCCATCACGGCGGCTTGTAACTCAAGGCGAGGTATGGATGTTACCTTGAGCGGAGCTACCTTCGCTTTGGCCATGACGAGGCTCACGTACACTTGCCCATCGGGTGTCGTTGCTCTCCAGTAAACTGCCGTTGCGTAGGCGCTTTCACTGGCATCTGAAAATACGTGCACTTGGAGGGAGCGTGCGTCGCTGTATCCCGGGTAGCATCTTGGTATGCTTACTGTTTTGAGACGTTCCAGGTGTTGGATCCATGTGGACCAATGGTTACTCAGGTCCTCGTCCAACTCCTGGTCCCAGTCTGTTCCTCGTCTCCACGCTTCCTGCAGTATTTGCTTGGCGCGTATCGTAACTGGGGAGGCGAGGCCGAGAGGGTCATACAGCGACATCACTATTTTCAACGCTTCCCTCTTTGTTGGTTTTTTCTGCAGCAAATTGTCCGGAAGTCGAGCGAGCTTTAGGTTGAAGCTCAGCTGATCGGTACTCGGTTTCCAAATTAAACCGAGTATTTTTTCCTCGGTTCCCTTGTCGCCCAGTTTGACTGACTCGGTTGTTTCGTTGTCAGGTTCTAATTCTTTTACGATTTCTGGCGCATTGGAAACCCATTTTCTCAATGTGAAGTGCGCGTTTTTATGTATATCGCGTACTTCCTTCGATATCCGCATTGCATCTTCCAGGGACTGGAAACTATCCAGATAATCATCCATGTAGTGGTTTTGGATGATAGCTTCTACGGCTTCTGGATATTTTTTTATATACCTTTTGGCGTTCCAGTTTTTTGCGAATATCGCTGTGCAGGGTGAACTAGCTGCACCGAATATGATCGACGTCATTCTGTATTGTTGTGGAGCCTCATTGCGTCGATCTCCTCTCCAGAGATATCTCAAGGCATCTCTGTCTTCGGGTCTCACTTTGATTTGCATGAACATTTCCGCTATGTCCGCGGAGACAGCAACATTGTGTCGGCGAAAGCGCATCATGACTCCTGGTAATGACTGTAGTAAGTCTGGACCCGTGAGCAGGAAATCATTCAATGCCATTCCTTTTGTTTTGGCTGCGGCGTCGTGTACTATGCGAAACTTTTCTGGTTTCATCGGATTATGGACATCGAAATGAGGTAGATACCATGTCTTTCCTGGTGTACTATTCTTTGGCGCTATTTCGGCGTATCCCTTTTGTATTAGGGAATTCATTTCTTCGTTGTACTTCTGCTTTAGCTCTTCGTTTCGATCTAGTTTTTTCTCGATAGAAACGAGCCTGTTTATCGCCGTTTCATAATTTCCAGGCATTTCGATGTTTTTCTTTTTCCATAGAAGCGCTGTTTCTATGTGCCCGTCTTCCAACTGACGGGTGCTGCTATTTAGTATTTCTTCGGCTTGCTTCTCTGGATCGGAATCTGGTTTTCTCGGATTTATCATTAAAGATTCCAGCGCGAAGTATTCGCGGAGTTGGTCATTTATATTCTCCTCGCTCGTGTACAGCTCGTTGGCCGTGTGGACGCGCTGATGCGGGGCTTTAGTGTGTGCCCCGTGTAGCACCCATCCCAGTTCTGTGAGCGAGGCTATTGGCTGGTGCGGTGGACCTCTGCGTACTTGTGTGGCTATTAAGAGTCTCCAGTTGTCTTGTCCTATCAGGATCCTAGGGTTGCCTGAATCATATGTCAATTGATCCTTTAAGCCTTTCAAATGCTTACAATTTTCTATGTCTGTTGCACGCACAGTCTGCGGCCCCAAGTTTAGGCTGGCGACCGTGCGTGCTCTGAATGGCACCCTTTTTCTATGGAGACTCTTTAGTGACACTTTGACTCTTTGGGAGTCCGGCGAATCGAGGGTAGTGTTCCCGATAGCTGTGATCTTGAATGGGTCCAACCGCCCTTTAGCTCCAATTTGATCGGCAATCTCTTGATCCATTAACGAGACTGTCGACCCATCATCCAGCAGAGCGTGTGTGTTTATTGCTCCCGCCGGTCCAATTACTCGAACTGGAATTACCTTCAAGTAAGCTTGATGCTTTGATACAGCGAATGAGTTTGCCACTGTCTCTTGAGGTTCTTTTAGTGGGCCCTCTATCTTTTCCTTTCTATTATTATGAAGGAGTCGATTGTGTGTCGCGTTGCATCCTTTTATTCCACACTTCGTGGTTTTGCATCTGTGTGTCTGACTTCTATAACGCAGACACCGGAAACATAAATTCCTTTGCTTGGCGAGTTGCCATCTTTTATCAATATCTGCCTCTTTAAACTTGTTGCAGTCGGATCCGTAATGACCCTCTTTTTCGCACACACTGCATTTCGGAGACGGTTTAGTGGTAGCCGTGTGCGTCCTATGCACTGGACGATTATTTTGCGCTCCGCTTATGATCTCAGGAGGCGCAAATGCACTACAGTAGCGAGCTTGTTCGGTGATAAATTCACTGAAGGAACCGAGGTCTGGTCTTGAGTCATACTTTTCTGTATAAATTCTATACCACTGCGCGCGTATAGAGTTTGGCAGTTTGTCTGTGAGGTGTCGTAGCAGCTCTGCGTTAACGAGGTAATGGTCTCGCTTGAGTGCTCGAAGTGTGACGACGCTTCCCCTCACTTTGCTCGCGAATGTACAAATATCTCTGGGTGCCTCTGTACAGCGTGGCAATCCCCGTAATTTATCGGTTTCTGCTTGCGCGATTGAATCTGGACGCCCAAATTGTAGCTCCAGTTCTCGCATAATCTCATCTGGTTTAGCATGCCCGATGAGTTCCGAACTAACTGTTTCCAAGGCTCTTCCTTGTAGACTTCTTCGTAGTCTAGCAGTATTTTCTATGTCATTGAAGTAGCCTCGGGTTGTTTCATAAATGGCACGGAACGAAAGCCATTCAGTATGTGCTCCGCTAAAGCTCGGCAGTGTCATTATCGCTTTTGATGCTGCGAAAGTATTTGACGATGCACTCTCTGGTTTTGGTTTATCAGCGAGTGCGGCTATAGCAGACGTGAGCTCCGATATGAATGGTCGGAGCACCCTGTCTTCATTGCTGACAGGTGCCTGGTTAGGTCTTTTTATTATGGGATTCTTGGTTGCTTCTTCCGGTTGGGGATCCTGGTAGGCGGGCTCTGATACAGCAGGTAGGAGCCCCCTGTCTTCATCAACCTTGGAGTCCTGGCAAGCCTTCTGAGGTACGGGACTCTTCGGTATATTTTCAGCATTGGGATCCTGGTAGGTGAGCTCTGATACAGCAGGTAGGAGCTCCCTTTCTTCATCAACCTTCGAATCCTTGTTTGTGAGCTTCATCGGCGGCTCACTGAGGTCGACAACCTCCGGGGGTGGCTTTGTGATGTTTTTATTAAGTGGGGCCTCCCCACCGGTGGTTGCGCCTTGCGTTGGCTTTTGTTTGGCTACAGAATTTTCGAGCCAAGATCGGACATACTCACTTTTGGAGTGACCATCCTCATCATAGTCGTCCGATTCATCATCTTCTTCAGCCATTTGTAATGAGATCTGTGCGAGTTCCAATTTTATTCTCAGCACTTCCTCACGAGCCTTCAAAACCCTTTTATTGGGCCGAGTGGTTTTCTTTGACCTTGTACTTTTATCGGTGTGGCCCCTTGGTGGTTCTTCGGCGCGGGAATATACCCGGGCTGTTGGCGGTGATGCACAGCGAATGTCATCGTTGCCTTCTATTTGTTTCCTCTGCTTCGGTGTACCAGCTTTAACAACGGCTGGCACCGGCAGGTGTACCCCCCCATCGCAGGGGCAAGCTATCTGTTCTCTCTGCTTCGGTGTACCGGCTTTAACAACGGCTGGCACAGGCAGGAGTACCCCCCCATCGCGGGGGCAAGCTGGCGCCTCAGCGCCTTCTGTTGTGGATGGTGAGCGTGGTGGCATCTGGTGGCGGACGGTGTCGGTATTGTCCGACGGTCCATCATCCAGACCGACAGTCCACGCCATGGTTCCCCTTCCTTGCGAACGAGTGATCGGCATCTTGATTCTGAAATTTCAGCAACTTTAAAACGGTAGTGATTATTTACCCGGTTCCGAAATACTAACGGATTGACGAATCCCGTTCGAATGACCAGCGTATGTGGTCCGGTGTATACGGATGATTCGGCTCAAAGGACCATAAAATGGTCCGGCTGGCAGTTCAATCGGAAGGATCCGGCTCGAAGGACCATAAAATGGTCCAGCCGGCAGTACAGGTGGAAGAATCCGGCTCGAAGGACCATAAAATGGTCCAGCCGGGCGTAACTCTCCGGAGTAAATGTTGTCGGAGATACCCCGCGAGTCGCTCACGTCCTACACCTGTAGGTTCCAGACTCCTCCAACTGCCGTCTTTCACTGCCGTCTCTTTGGTTGCTGCGGATAAACTGTGGACTGAGGTTCAAAATTAAAATGCACGATTTGTAAATTAAAATAGCAAGGGAGTGGCCAGCGGATCGACTAATTAATTTGTCGCGAGATTTTACACTGTTATTTATTTATCACTATTTTTCAACTATGATTGTTCACTATATATTTTAAAACACAGATTTAATTAAACACACAGTAATATTAAAATTTCTATTGGTTTTCTAAAATTTCTATTCGTATTTTTAAAATATCTGTTGGTAATATCAAATTTCTATTGGCAGTAACAAGTTTCTATTGGTATTCTCTACAATTTCTATTGGTAATTTTAAATATCTATTGAAAGTAACAAATTTCTATTGGTAGTATCCAAAATTTCTATTGGTAGCAGCTGGTTTTCTAACACTACTGACTAGCAGCTATTAATCAACTAAAATTAGTTGAATTTAAACACTTTTGTAACTGCGAATATCAGTTACCACTTTTTCCGTCTAGCTAACACTTTTCACGAAATGTAACGGCGAAATTTCCGTTACCACTTTTTTCAGCTAGCCAACACTTTTTTCGACTATGTGTAACTGCGATTTTTCAGTTACGACCTTTTTCGGCTAGCTAAACTTTTCTATTTCACTTTAACTTTTCACTGTGTTCTGCTACTAGTCACTTCAGCTACTACCGGATACTGCTGCTTGTTACTGGTAGTTCTTCCTACTACAATGTTACTGTGATTTGCCCCCATAAGGTAGACTTCGGCTATACTCTATAGAGAGCCGCTTGCCAATTCCCATTTGCCTCTTTATTTTCAATCATTTTTCTTTATGCAAATGGCACAAATTGCAACTTTTCTATATAATACAAATCTTAACTCTAACATGCTATACATCATTAAATAGACATTTTTGTTCTACATTAGTATGCGATAAAGGATAATTAATATATTTACATTTAACAAAGTTATTCATTGAAATGTCCTAAACTTTTACACTAATTGGTCATATTAATTCTTTATTTATCCTATAACTTTTAAATCGTGCTTAATTATACAAAATATTTCTTTATTATAACGATCTATACATCATATGCTAACTAAATACCATATTTACAACTCTTTTCAGACATAAAATTATTCTCATTAATTTTTTGCTTAAAACTATTACGCAGTTAATTTAAATTTCCAGAAAGTTCTATAGCGCGGCGCGCTGTGATTGGTCGATATTTTCTTAAACAAAATAAAGTTGTTTATATTAACTATTGTCAAATCGACCTTCTATACAAACATATTGAGTTGTAAATACATGGTAAAACTATATTTAATACATTATTTAGTCAATTTTTCCGTATTTTCGTTTTTTAAACAAATAAATATTCCTTAATCACTTTCTCGTTTAAAGTCATTTTTGCCGTTGTGAACAGTCATTTTGGCCGTCTCGAACAGAACCGTTTCGTTCAAATGAGTGATAAGTCAAAAACGAAAGAGTGGAGATTAGCTGAACGTCTGGTTGTCCGATGGTGGAAGGAAGAGGGGGGAATTAAATTATGCAATTCCTGCGCTCACTCTCCGAAATGCATCCTGTAGAAAACCAAAAGGCTGGCTACTTTACGTCTGTGTTCGAGGCTGGTAAGATTGGTTCTAACCAAATTCGGCTCACCAATGAGCCTCTTAGCACGCCTTCCCATTGAGTCCAAAGCTGCTAGGTGGCATTTTGCAGCACCAGTCCATATATGGCAGCAAATACTCCATGCACGATCAGACTTGCACTTTATATAAAGTAAGCAGCTGGCCCGGCGTGAAGTATCGCCGCACCTTTGCAAGGACTCCAAGCTTCCTTGCAGCTGCTTTGGCCTTGGACTCAATGAAGTGCCCGGAGTTCGAATTTGAGGATATTTCAAACCCTAACAACTGAAGGCGGTCGGTATATTTCATTGATACATTTCGTAAAGAAGAAGCAAAGTTGCGCTGGCTCCTTTTTGCAGTAAAGAGATACGCTTGTGTTTTGGAGGCGTTGAACTTCACAAGATTGGCATCACCCCATTCGGAGACTGCCTGTAGTGTGAGATTCACACGCTCTACCATAGCTTCTCTTTCGGACTAGATTTGATCCCGACTGGCCCGAGGACTTGGTTGGTATCTCTCAACAACTGTGCTATCGTCTGCATACCCATAGATACCGGGCATAAGCAGATCATTAATATACAGTAGGAAGAGAGTTGCGAAGAGAACAGACCCCTAAGGAACACCGGCGTTAGTCGTCATAGGATCGGATGAGCAGCCATCGATGACGACCTGGAGAGACCGTTCACTCAGAAAGTCCTTTACCCATTCAATCAGACCAGGGGATAAACCGTACGCTGGAAGCTTACCCAAAAGGCTAGTGTGCCAATCTCTGTCAAAGGCCTTCGAGACATCAAGGGAAACAGCAAGCGCTTCCCCAATGTTCTTGATTGCCTCGCCCCATACGTATGTGGCATACGCTAGAAGGTCCCCAGTTGACCGATTTCAGCGAAAACCCATATTGCTGGTCACTAAGGAGGTCATTCTGTTCTAGGTTTGCCATTAAGCGGGCATTCAATATACGCTCCATAATCTTGCAGAGTATAGAGATAATTGAGATTGGCCGATAATCGGCAGAGTCGGCACGGCTGCCTTTTTAGGCACAGGCTGCACGTTGGCCAGCTTCCAGGATTTTGGCACTATTCCAGTCCTAAATGAGAGGCGGAACAAGCGTGTCAACACAGAAGACAACCCAGGTGCACAAGCCTTGAGAACTATAGCTGGTATACCATTTGGTCCACTAGCTTTATTCACGTTTAGACACCGCAAGGTTTTAAGAACCTCCTTATTTGTTATACGAATCTCCGAAATAGAGGTCCCGCAGTGAGGTAATTTTGGTGGAACGTTGTTGCCACTGTTCAGACGTGAATTGTAGGCAAAAAGAGACGCGAACAATTCCACTTTCTCCTTAGCCGTATGCGCCAGTGTGCCATCCGATTTTACCAACGGAGGGAGTGTAGGCTGACAGAAGTTTGTCTCAACCGCTTTGGCGAGTGACCAAATAGCTCTAGCGCCGGATGGTCTGGCAGAGAGTTTTGTGCCAATATGTTTAATGCGATCGAGACTAGCTTTCCGTAATGCTTTTTTGTAGAACTTGGCGGTCTGGTTGAAAGTTCTCTTCTTGGAGCTAATATCCAGATCGTTGCGGTTTCGAGCGTCAACCCAGGATAGGTAAGCTAAATGCTTGCGCTTTTCAGCTTGTTATGTTCCAATTTTTAAATTTTTATTCTCGTACTACTTACTTTCGCATTTTGTTGAATAATTCAAAAATTAACTATTCATTTTTATGTATTATATATATATCAAAAGACCATACTCCAAAAAATTTATACGACTCTAAAAACCCTAGAAGTTGTGATGTTGTGAACCCTAGAAGTTGTGTGTTTCTTGTATAACAGCGGAAATGAAACATTTAAAAAAAAAGGTTTATTTCTTCTTTTTCTTTATAATACTTGACTGTGTATATATTGCTTATGTTAAATCTACTTAAACTATCAACTTTTATTATTAAACTATCTGAAATCAGAACGAATTTGCAGATATGTAAACAAAAGGGGTTACAGCTGAAAGATATTTCAAGCGTAGGAAATTTCTCGTAAATTTTACGATTCGCAGACGATAATGGTGTTCCGGACTCATTAGTAGGTAGTAAAAAACCGGACTCATTATATAGTACATTTATCTTTTTACTGGAGAGAAAATGGATATTACAAAACAAAATGAGACATCACATTTTTTTAATTCTTTTAGACTTTTTTTTATTATTATAATGCTTTTGGAGCAGTTAGTCTGCTAGGCATTGCATATTTGCCTGTATTGCCTGGAACCACTTTAATGAAAAATGTCCTTCAGAATCACCCTTAACATATTCCGTAATGACTTGATTTCTGCAGAGTCTAAATACTCTGGTGCTTCTTCTGCCACACCCAACTTTTACTACCATACATTAAGGTAGGAATTAACCTAATATTTAGCATTACGTATCCCTACTGTATTAACACAGCATTGTAAGTTGCCATACGTGTCTTTTTCAATTTTCCAAAATGAAGTCAAGAGCTCCATTGACTCTGTGTCACCGTTTTTAGATGTTAAAATTTTTCAGGATATTTTTTCCCAAAATGCCACATGTTATAATCTCCTACCCCGTCTTAGAGTATATACGTTACTCATCAATGGGAATTTAGACAATGCTTATAATGCAGTAATAAAGTAAAAGCTTGAATTGCTTCTTTTTTTAGTCAAAGTCAATGTTTTTATGATATATTAACATCAAAACCGGTTCGGAAAACAGAGCCCTTTTTAAAGGACGGGCAAGAAACTTTTGGGGTTTATTTAAAGCCCTGTCACAATGTCACTTACAAATAATATTAAGTCTGTTTAAATTGTTAATGTATTTATTAAAAAAAAGAGAAAAAATCTAATCTTGATCTCTTAATGTACAGATCATATTATGTTTCGAAGTTTTTCTTTCCCAAAATACTATAATCAGCCTCTCTAACAAAAAGTATGTACGTAGTTATTTGCGTTACTTATGAACTGGATTTTACTGGAACTGGAAATTCAGAGATTACTTATAATGCAATTA